ATTTATTCTTATATTTAAATATTATCTATGTGAAATATAATTTTACATAATTATTCTTATGGATAAATTTTATGAACTTACTTTCACAAATTAACTCAACCTCAAAAATTACATATGTTCGAATGATCGATAATTTGTTGCTTTAAAAAAAATAAGAAATGTCAATTTATAGCAATAACGCATTTTTTTTAAATAGCAAAACAATACTGACATTTTTAAAATTTCTGAAAATATTAAATCTGTTTTTCAAAATTGTTTAAAAAAATAATAAAAGACACTAAGTCAGATAAATAAAATTATAAAAGAGAAATGTATAATACAAAATTAAATTTCTGAATTAAAAAAAAAACTATTTACTTAATCTGAGATAAAATCACTATTCTGTCTATTTAATTATCAACCATTCATAAAGGATTAATAAGAATAAGATCGCTTTTTGTATTAAAAAAATTTATTATACAAATTTTAACATAATAGACCCGAAAAATAAGCAGATTAATATTTTAACTATAGAAATATGTAACTTTTATCTTAAGCACCTTTAGAGTTGAACACATAATAGATTAAATTTAATATGTAACCATTTTAAAGACAGATAAGGCTTAGTCAACAAAACCTTTTGTCAACTTCCATAGTCACATAGCTATAGAGTCCTTGGTCGAACTGAGTCTGAATCTGACACTTTCTAGATGTTGCAAATGTTCATAAAATCCATAGGTATATAACCAATTCAGAATTTCAATAAGTAAATTAAGAAATAATACTTAGAATATAATCCCTCCGTTTCACAATGAGTGATCTATTTGAAATAAAAGAGTGTCTCAAAATAAATGATCTGTTTCAATTTCCAATGCACTTTTCTAATTTTATCCTCTAATTAATATTGCTTTTATCATTCTCAATACATGATAAAGACACTTTAGTAAAAATACTATTCTCTATTTCATTTATTCATTTTTCTTATTTTGGTGAAATAGCCAACTGGATCACTTACTATAGGACGGAGGGAATATGCCACAAGATTTAGCACTATAACACAGTAAAGGTTTCAGAATGCAATGAAGGTGTATTTTGTTTTGTAAACATCACATTGTGTAATAACAATACACAACGATGATCTAGTAAAGTAAAAAAAAAGACAGTATTCTTTAATGTTACAACTCATGTTTGATGCAGACTCACACCAAACTTTCTATTGTTATACTAATTAATGAATGAATGAAGAAGACATCACATCACTAATGATATCATGTGATAATAAGAATTTCTATGGTATCCTAAGAAACTTAGATGGAGATTAAGATATCGGTACAATACGACATAGATGCATGAAATTTTAAAAAGTCAACATATGATAAGCTCATATACAATAACCAAGCTTTATTCCATAAAGTGGAGTCGACTACATGAATCAACTTTAACCATAATGATCTATCCAGGAACATTCTTCTATCCAAATCGTTAATCTTGAGATTTTTCTTAATAACTTCTCTTATAATTTTTCTAAGTCTTCCTCTACCTTTAGTTGTTTGACTTCTGCCCATCTGATATATTCTCCTTACTATAGAATCTATGGGTTTTCTCTCTATATTTTCAAATCACCCAAGTTTATTTTCCACCATCTTTTCTACTATAGGTGTTACCCCAATCATCTTTAATATTTTCATTTATAATATTATTTTGTCTAATCTTGTCACACATTATTGTATTCTCGCGTTGATTCTTAACTGCCCAACATTTTGTCTCGTACAACATCGTATGTCTTACCGCAGTCTAATAAAATATTCTCTTCAACTTTAGCGGTACTTTTGTGTTACATAAAACCCCTGAATCCCTCCTCCGTTTCAGCCACCCAACTTGAATTCGACATTTTACATCCCCTTCTATTTCTCCATTGTTTTGTACTAAGGACGCAAAATATTTACACTGCATGCTTGTGGGATGATATAGTCTCCAATTTCCACTTTTAGGTTAAAAACGTTTCTCCTTTTGTTGAACTTACATTCCATATACAATCTTACTTTTTCTTAGCTAAAATCCATGTGTTTATAAATCTCATCTCCAACCTCGTATTTAAATCCTCCTTTGACTCTCCAAGTAAGACTATATCATCTACAAAACAACTCACATCTCGGTGTTGGCTCTTGGATGTGTTTCGCGAGTAGATCCAAAATTTGAGTAAAAAATGTAGGGGCTTAGGGTTGAACCTTGGTGCAATCCAATTGTAATGGAGAAATCACATGTCTCTCCACCCTGAGTTCGCACACTAGTCGATACTCCATCATACATATCTTGGATAATTAATATAAGCAAAAGTCTAACTCATTTCTTCTATATGGTTTTCCACAAAATCTCTTTAGTCACTCTATCATAAGTCTTCTCCAATTCAATGAAAATTTAGTGCAAGTCTTGTTGGTCCATCCAATATTGCTTCATCACATGTCGTAGCAGATAGATTGCTTTCATGATCGACCTCCCAGACATTTAACTAAATTGATTCTAAATAGTTTGAGTCTCTTTTCTTAGTCTCCGTTCAATCAGTATTTCCCATAACTTCATGGTATGACTCATAAGTTTGACCCCCCTATAATTTGCACAATTTTGTATATCCCATTTGTTCTCATTGATTGGAGCTTTCATATTTTGACCTCAAAATTTAGTTAAAGAGTTTGGTGAGCCACTTAATGCATATCTCCAAGAATTTTTCACACTCCAAAAATATGATGTATGGCCTAACCGTCTTACTGTTACTCATCTTTTTCACTGCTTCTTTCACTTTTTGTTTCTGAATCTAGCGGTTGTAATAATAGTTTTGATCATTTTCTCTAATGTCGAGCCATTTAAAGTCATATAAGATATCATATCCTTCATTAAATAAATGGTAGAAATACGTCTTTCACCTATCATTTATACTATTTTCTAGAACCAAGATTTTGTCTTATTTATCTTTAATACACTTTACTTGATCCAAATCTCTTGTGTTACTTTTCCTTCCCTTAACAAGCTTGTATATAAATGTTTCTCCCTCCTTGATTCCTAAAGATTGGTATAAACTGTCAAAATTTTAAATTATTGTTTCACTCACCACCGTCTTCTTACTTCACCCACCTTTTTTACACTAATCTTACTTTAAACACTTTCATTTCATCATTACGATTATTTAACCATAGGCCTAAAACCTTTTGATTCTTCCAACGTCTCTTTAGCTACGTTTCTAATCTCTTGGGACATCTTATTCCCCATATCATTGGCACTTCCTTGTGGCTGCCCAAACTCTTCCTCCAAAATTTTGTATTGAAAGCTCCTTTATTTTTTCCCCTTCAAATGTCACTCCTTTCTTTCCCATGTGATTTCTTCTCTTCTCTCTCCTCTTGACTCTTACATTCATAAGACCATAATCAATACTCTATGTTGGATAGTCAAACTCTCTCCATATATTACTTTACGGTCCAAACAAATCTTTCTGTTATATGTCAAAACATGTCATCTCTATATTATATGTGAGCTATGCTTATGAATTTAAATCTTTATAAATATTTCAAGTGATTTAATTTTAGATTTTGTTTGCCATATATATATATATATATATATATATATATATATATATATATATATATATATATATATATATATATATATATATATATATATATATATATATATATATATATATATATATATATATATATATATATATATATATATATATATATATATATATATATATATATATATATATATATGAATTTTAGAATTTTGTATAATTTTACGATTATGATATGATTTCACGATTTTACTTCCCCTTCTCGATTTTTAAATAAAAAAATTGTTTCAGCTACCTTGCATTTAGCCATGGTTTCAAACACACGTATACATATTTATCTTTCTCCCACCTATATCGAATATACTCTTTCAATTATAAAGTGACACAAAAAACATATAGTTTGTCGTCCTTTATTAGTATGATATATCAAACTAAATGTATGTGAGAAATACCAGCACTTTCTTTAGAAAAATATAATTTATTGGATACATTCTTGAGATATACTAGTAAAAGACTCGTGTGTCCGCACGGGTCCATTAATTTTAATTGATATATAATTTATTTATATGTATTTGTAAATATGAATTGATAAATTTAACTGTATAATGCAAAATAATTATATCAAATGAATAATATTTTAAATGGAATGATTAATTCTTTATGATAATTTGATTAAAATTAATTAGATGCAAGTAAGTTAAATATATTGTGACAATTTACAATTGTTAAATAAGTTATATAAGGTGGTTATTAGAATATATTAAGTAATGGTTGAGCAAGTACGCAAACTAAGTATGTGACAATGAAAAAAGTTGATTTAGTTGGAAATGAACTAAATATAATAGTGATTCCTAGATCTACTATTTGAAAGTTGGTAAGGTGAGAAAGTATAACTGCTTGGAAGAAAACTATTGTTGTACTTATGTCATTACATAAGTAGGTCAGCGTATAAAGTAACAAATGAGAACTCAAGAATGGTGTGATATCCCAGTTTCACTAAAGAGGATTTGGCATGTTACTGCTGACTTAACTATACAGTGAATTGTGTTTTGAAAGTATTTTATTTAATTGTACTATTAATTCATATAAAAAGTATGAAGTAGGTTAGAAAAATAGCAAGACGGGGCGAATTGAATGAGACAGACGAGAGAAACAAGGGAGGGAGAGAGGGAGAGTTTCAAAATGAAATTGTGAGAGAAATGAGAGGGAGAATGAGAGTGAAATTGATCTAGTGTTTACAGGTGTCAATTTAAGATTGATTTTAGAGTGTAAAAACTTAACACTTGGCATGATGTAATAGGATAAGAGGATAAATAAATGGTAACATTTGTTGATTACATAAACACCCTTTTGTTAGTGTAAAATTTGAAAATAGTAAGGATTAATTAGTCAGAGCATGCAATTCCTTTTTGATGGGTAGATAGTAGATATTATTGATAGCCTTCAAGAATCATAGATGATAAAAGATGGCTATCAATGGAGAAAGTATGGGCAGAAAGTTACCAAAAATAATGCTTCTCCTAGAGCTTACTTTAGGTGCTCCATGGCTCCTAGATGCCCAGCAAAAAAGAAGGTATATATACATACTATAGATGAAAATTTTGTTGTTTGAATAGACTCTAACCTTGATTCAATGACTCGTTTTATTTAGGTCCAAAAATGCTTACATGATAAATCAATCATTCTTGCAACTTATGATGGAGAACACAATCATGGTGTCTCTAATGACTCGTTCAAACCATCTTCATCGATGACACTCAGTGATTCATCAATACCTAATATCAAGATTGAAGAATATGCAAGTTCGCTAATCAAAGATCCCAACTTTACTGCGGTATTAGCTAACGCAGTTGCAAAAACTATCACAGGTCAACAGCATAAGCGACAAGGTCTAAATCTCAATTTGAATCTTACTGACGAATGAAATCAATGATATATCTTGATAATTTTGAGTTCGGTCAGAATGTAAATAAAGTATAGGCAAAAAGATTGTTTCGGTTAGAATATGGTTATTGAAGATAAAATTTTATTGAGTAATATGATATGCTTGTATCATTGAAAGTGAGAAACTTCTAACAAAGAAAATGACTCACTAAAATTTGTAACTTGTATTCTAAGCAATAACTTGATATTTACAAAGCATTTGTCTTCTTCAGTTCATGTAACAATGGAGCATAAACCAAAATTTTTCAGTATTGGTGCCTCTAAATGCTCACATTGAAAATAAAAGCTAAACACTATTCTATCTTATGTTAAACAAAACATATCAGGTCAGCATTTACATTGGGATTGCCGAGTACACGAATTTTTTTATGGGCTTCGAAACTACATTGTACAGAAAATCGTTAGAAGCTTGAGGCCTTGTAAAAAAGTGTGATTATTTACCATGACCGCTCTTGATGGTGGTCCTCATCATAGGTTTAAGCTTGTTTCTCGCAGCTAGCTTCAATTTCCCATTTTCTGCAGCTTCCTTATCTGCTTTCTTCTTTTCATATTCAACCTTTCTTCTTTTCATATTCAACCTGTTTGCAATTTTCGTCGTGTGCTCGTATGAACATCCTCACAAAGTTGAGCAGTGTAGATACAACTATAGAGAGAGGAAAAATAAGAAAGCCACAAAAAGAAAGAATCTCTATGACGACTATATTGCGAAATGATGTTTTTCCTATTTACCTTGTTCGAACGGGCAACGTGCCGGATCTTCTCTGAAGTATAGCGCCAATGCATCTGCATTTCTACCCTGGTGCATTCAGATTTAGAACTTCAGATCCATTTCTTGTGATATCTTGAATTTACCGTTTACAGAAAAAAAAAATATGCTAAAGAAGAAAGAACCAAATCCATACCACATTGGCATAAAGCTGAGCCAAAGCCCTCACTTCAGCTTCGGCGTGACTAAGAAATTCTTTCAGAATCTGAACATTACAAATACTTAAATCATAAGTTGCACATAGGGTAATAATCCAAATTCATCGGAATTTAGAAGTTTGTACCTGGCAGAAGTATTCTGACACGGGCCCATCGTTTTCTGATGCAGACAGTTCTTGAATTACTTTCTCCAGTCATTTACTAATAGCTTGCATTTCTTCTGCCATATATTTCAATTGTAGTTGTATGCAAAAACTTGCTTGTAACTCGGTATACACCAAAATCGAAATGAGAATGAACTCGGTATACACCCTTTTTATTTTGAATTAGTCTGTTGTGAATTGAAGGAAATGCTCCCTCCACAAACCTAAACATTAAGTTCATCAGTTTTGTAAATGAAAAAATGACGGGCATAACAACAATTAATGCTTTTGAATAACCTACATAGTCATTTCATAACAGAAGGTGAAGTTGCTTTACATCCATGACAACATGAAATATACTAAGCAAGTCATAAACTTGCAGTATTAGCATAATTAAAATGACAACATAACTAACTGAACATCAATTAGTTTGGGAGTATTTCCCGTAGCAGTAGCTATAAACTTCCCATGAACATGCTGAAATCTAACTTGTTTACTACCTCCCTGCATGCAATACATTAAGTCTTTTTAATTAACAAAGTGCAGAAAATGCCTTGCTTATATTAAATATGACATACACTCAAAATCATAAATACATATAGAATACATAAAAATTCAGAAACATGTTGTAAACGAACAGAACATTAGCAATTAGCAGGGTCAATCAGTTAATACATATACCGCAGATAATGCCATTAGACTAAGAGTCTCATCCTATGTGAATAAAACCTTGTAGCCAACAAATTATTGCTGACTCTTCTTCTTAGTTCAAAATATACTCCACTCTATATATTCATAAACAGAAAAATCACTTCCTTATTCTAATAGATGCCCTTAACCTTGAGTCCGTGATGTAATATCAGGACTTGCATTTTATTAATAATCTTGCTTGAGAAAATGCAATTATCACGAATCCACAAAATCTTGAAGCCTCCAATCAAAGGTACTGTGCTCTTCTCTTAATTGGAGATAATAGGTGCTAGTGAAAAAAATCTAGAACTATATTCAAGCTTATAATCATTAACTTTCAAAATAGTCTATTTACGCAAAAGGTAACATTATGCTTCAGAGGAATGCAATAGACCTGATCAAAAATTGATTACCTCAGAACCATCTTGTGGGATATTCTCTGAATTTACTTGCGAGGTTGACACCGTCTCATTGCAATTTTCAAATACTTTAATATCCTGGATAGGATCAGGCATCAATTGAGGTGTACAGTCACTATGATGCCGTTGATCATTTCCTGCGCACTAAAGTTATAAATTTTGCAAATCAGTCAAAAGATAGCACACACTAATCATATATATAAATACTGACGGCCCTACATCAACATTATAGATACACACACTATTTGATACAAAATGCACAAAAGCGATATTTATGTGATTTAATTTTAAAATCACAAAAGCATTGTTTATGTGTTTTTAAATGAAATCAAAATCAAAAGATAAAATGTAACACCTTCCAGTGTCAGTGATAGAAATATATTTCAAATCTACTTCCCCCATGCTCTCACTTTTCACCTCACCACCAACCATCACCATCACTTCACAACTTGTCTGAAATATTTTGTTCTTGGTTATGGATTGCCGTGGGGTGGAAACAACCATTGCTCCACTCTCATCTTGTCATTCTCTATTTGAGTATTTCCCTTACATTACTTTAAGTATTTTCAATTTTTGTTTAGATCTCTTGCAAATATTAAGCTTTAATGAAGTCATCATTTGACTGCTATTAATTATCTCCACATCTCGGAAATTTGAAAGCAAATACAAGATATATAACAGATTTAACTTGCAAGACAACCTAATGCCAGTACATAATTGTATCAATTTGGGAATTTTAAGAGAATCACCAATATAAGATGAACACATTGAGAGCTCCACTAATATTATCAACATTTTCTATTGATTTACTTATGGCAAAGTCTTTAAAAATATTTCCCTTCAAATTCAGATATAATAATATGTTTAAGCTCTATCAAAATTTATCAGATTTGATTCTTCACTGTCCAAGAGCGTCTTCATTGTAGACCCAGAGGGCTTTAATATTCAATATGATGGAGTTGGTATAAAGAGACGGAAAAAAAAAACATTAACAGAGCAAAGTTGAAAATGTAGTTGGGTCTCAATTTTGATTGAAAGTTGAAAATGGAAATGAAGACGACATATAATGTGAAAATGGATAGAAAGGTAATTGATAGGAAGAACTTTTAAAGAAATTAGCAGTTTTCTTATAGATATATAGAGTACAGACAACAAGAACTTAGTTACCTGGGGAAGTGAATCATGAGAATGTTGTTTATCAAAAATATCAGCGCCTGGACTGGAGTCTAAATTTGTGTGCTCTTGAGAAACCCATTCAGCACCATCTTTCTCTCCTTCCATTATTGCAAGATTTTCAGAATATGCTGGCCTTTCATGATGAACCGTATTAGATTCCTCTAACAAAGGCAAAAGTTCTTCTGCTCTGTTAGCAGGACCATCGCTCCTATCAAATTCTAATATAACTTTCTCCGACTCAGTTAGTGATGACCCAACTGCATCAGTAGACTGTTCCATTTCTAGGTTGACAGGATACATTTGATCATCCCCGGGATCAGCCAAATATTCATCGACAGATGGTGGAGGACTGCAGCTTTGGGTATTCACATCATTCTGAGCGTCTGTTGTAAATCCCTCTGAAAGTGGCTGCTGAGGATTCAATTTTTTCAAATCACCATGAGTTTCACCAAGACAGTTGTCTTCAGTGTCATCTCGAGACATTTCTCCACCAGATAAATGGGTTCCATCAGGCCTGATACAGAGAAATTTTGTCAACAAAGAACCAGTGAATAGTCAACAACAAAACACCCATAAAATTGAAGTCACGATTCACGAACCTTTCCGAGCATTGTGTCTCACGGAGGTGACTACTAATACGCGGTGATTTGAATACAAGAGGCGGAGAATTAAGTCCAAGAAACTCATGTGTCGCGTGAGAAGCCTTGACAGGCTGTATTGGAGAAAGTGTGTTGACAAATCTTAAAAATGGAGATTCCTGAAATTTTGTGTATGATCGCTAAGTAGATAATGCCATTAGACTAAGAGTCTCACCCTATGTGAATAAAACCTTGTAGCCAACAAATTATTGCTGACTCTTCTTCTTGGTTCAAAATATACTCCACTCTATATATTCATAAACAGAAAAATCACTTCCTTATTCTAATAGATGCCCTTAACCTTGAGTCCGTGATGTAATATCAGGACTTGCATTTTATTAACAATCTTGCTTGAGAAAATGCAATTATCACAAATCCACAAAATTTTGAAGCCTCCAATCAAAGGTACTGTGCTCTTCTCTTAATTGGAGATAATAGGTGCTAGTGAAAAAAATCTATTGCAAAACTCCAAATGCCAAACAAAATTCTCAATATGGAAGAACTCGCAGCCTGACCCGACACACTTCTAAATGCTCAAACTAAATAGCAAACAAACATTAATGATAACTCTGCATCCGAAGCACCAAAGGTTCGACAATTGAGAATTACAAATATGAACAGGCCAACATCATAACCTACATACGACAGTTGACAAATTAAAACCTCTAAACACCATCACCCTAAACAGCAGCAAGAAACCCCAGTAATTAGCACTCTAAAAGCTAAATGCGCCAAAATCTCCCAGACTCGAGCAACCATCCAAAACGCTTAGCAGAGGAATCTGATATTATCATCTTTTTCTGCTCTGCTATTATGATTACAACTTTTGCAAGTTAATCGATTCATGCATAAATTTATAATGTTAATTATTGAAAACATGCTACAAAGAATATGGTTAGAATCAAAATAACTTGCCGAAACACAACATTGAATTATTTACTCATTATCCTTTTCAACAGCAAAGTTGAAAAATAACATGATATAATTAGAAATTATACATAATGTAAAACCTGTTTCCATTTTAAAAACATGACCATACCATAAAAAGCTACCAAGTGAGATTAAAAGACTAAAATTATTTCTTACCAGATTCTTTTTCACTGTTTTCATCCAAAGGCATTAGCTTCATAGTGTGGTGTGGTGTGTTCCATGTGGCAACCGTCTGTAGAATCATCAATGAACAAAAAAAAATTTAAAGAATTATGAGCAAGTGCTAGTAAAGGAACCATGTAAAAACAAATAAAAACCAGGTTGAAATACATTAGTTATAATTAATGTATGTCCAAAATTTTACTGAGAGAATAACATTAAACACATTAATTGATGAAATTGATGGAAGTTCAATGAAAAACCTGAAAATAACATATTCCTTCATAGGCAGTAACTACAAAGAAACAAACATGAAATTCACACCAAACCGATTACGACATTTCATGAGTTTTCCTCTTGAAATCAACATTACATGTAAATCTAATAAACAAATGACATGACTCGCTCAGATTTTAAACCATTATAACGCCTTTCCAAACGATTTCTCCGTTGAACTTTGTTGCACCCGAAAACATCTCTGTTGAACTTTGTTGCACCTGGAAATTTAAAACACAGGATAAGTTTAAACATGTATTTTCAAATAAATTCATACATTCCGAAATATTACACAGAGGATGATCAATTGAAAACTTCCGAAAATTCTGCACGAACTGATCAGAGGTCAAACTTGCAAACAACGAAAGTTCCATTATTAAGTCCTTTGTGATTAGTTTTTTGGTTCATGTTCTTGATAGGGGAAAACAAATAGATAATGATCAGTCATGCTTAGCACCAAAGAATTATTAAAAGTTGATCTCACACACATGGTTTACTTAAAAAAAAGTACCTTTTATTTCTTCTGTAACTGATATCATTGCATCATTCACAACTATTAGATTTAGATGAATAACAAATACTTTGCATATTAAACCCTCCCACCAACTTCTTGATCCCAAGATTTACCCAATCATAACATATAAATTCTTCAGATCTGAAACCTAAACATGAACAAAAATCTTTAATAACATATTAAAATATACCTTCACTCCATTCAAATCAAAGAAAACTAAAAGAGCAGAAGGAAACAGGATTTGAGCTTGTTTCATCTTTGAGATACTGATGGTTGCAGATAAGGTGAAAACAGGACGGCGACAGTATAATGTTTCGGGGAAGAGAGGGAAGAAGGGAGAAAGGGGGCGGTGGTTAGGGTTTGAGAGGAAAGAGGAATGAGAGAAACAAGAAGGGGAGAGAGAAGTGTGGGAAAAGGTTTGAATTGAGAGAGACTGTGTGTTTTTGAGTGGGACAGAAAAATGATTTCATAGGCCAATATTGGAGAGACTGTGTGTTTTTGAGTGGGACAGAAAAATGATTTCATAGACCAATATTGGAGAGACACGTGGCAGCAAAGTTTGAAGTGAAATTTTGTTATGTTTTGTTAGTTACTGATTTAACCTTGTGTTAGTGTAAAATGTTTTGGCTTAAAGGGCATATTTGGCAAAGCATGCAATAGATTAGTATTAGATAGATAGTAGATTTGTATTGTCGGTGTTAGATGCGTATTGGGGTATCAAATACGTGTCGGGTGCCGGATAACAAAACTTTAAAACAACAACACCCAAACTTATCCCACTCCATGGGGTAGGCTACATTCATCATAATTCTCTATTATTTTATTATAAAAATTTTTGGATAACGAAACTTTGCCATTTTTTAAATATCTAGGCTCATAGATAGAATCCTATGAAAGCTAGAACTGTTCATGACTTTTCAAAAGGAATACTTATGGTGGGCTAGATCACCGAAATTGATCAGACATGGCATGAAAACAAGCCCATCATGGACTTATTTTAAAATGATAGTGCAGATTCTAAGAGCCAATCAAGTATTACTGGTCAAAAATGCTGTATATAGTATAAACACAAGGATATAGTAGTATACACAAAAGTATTACCGCTAAGAAACTTCTAAAATTATGTCAGGGTTACAGTTATATCAAACTTCAGTTACATTCAAAGCAAACATGAAGGATTGAATGCCAACAAAGAATGACCTTATCAAGTAATATATTATGCAACCAATTACAAGAAAAAGAGAAGGTTTGTATATTACCAAGACCAGAACATTTGCACATCTTCCTAGTTTCCAAGCTCTAATTTGTTGTTGAAGATCAACTTTCCCTTCAACACAGCTCTTCTTGCTTGATCTTCAAGGACAAAATCATCATTCTCTCGTTACCCTAACCCACCATTTTCTTTACTTCCTTCCTGTGTGCATTTGACTAACATATATTTGACCCTAGTGAAGTGCCAGAAGTGTCTACTTCAGATCCTCATATTCATTTTGTTTTGGACCAGCATGAATGAGAGGTTTGTGAAGACTACCAACAAGTGCGGCGAAAACTCTATCATCAGGTATTAGGCCCATTTTCATCATCTCATCATACAACTTAAATGCTTCATCTGCTCTCCCCTCCTTGGATAAACCTGAAATAATTGATGTATACGTTGCAACATTTCCAGTTATCCCCTTTATCCTCATTTCATTGAAAATTTTAAGCGCCTCTTCTACCCTGCCAACAATACATTCCCCGTGTATTAGCGATGTGTATGTATATACATCTGGCAATAACCCCTTGTTTATCATTTCAGATTTTGTCTTATGTGCTTGCTTCACTTTTTCTTTCTTGCAATACGCATCAATTAGAGTGTTATATGTAACAATATTAGGCACTTCTCCCCTTTTCTCCATATCCCTAAAGAACCTCTCAGCTTCAGCAAGGTTTCCTTCCTTGCAATATATCTCGATAAACATAGTGAAAGTCACAACATTTGGTTCCACTCCTTTCTCTACCATTGAATTTAAAGTACACTTGGCTTCGTCATACCTATGCAATTTACAGAGCCCATTTGCAAGAATGTTGAATGTAAACACATCTGCTTTGAATCCTTTCCTTTCCATGATCGCTTGCAGCCTCAAAGCTTCATCCATCATTCCTCTTTTGCAGTAGCCATCTATCATCGTGTTAAATATTATTATATTTAGGTCAATTCCCTTACTTTGCATCTCTTCCAACAAGATTTCCGCAGCTTCCATTTGACCTGCCTTGCACACACCACCAATCAAGGCACCGTAAGTATGTGCATTAGGAGCAACATCTCTCTGAGTCATCTCATCAAACAACGCAAAGGCCCTATTCATATTTCCTAATCTACAATTCCAACTTATCATCGCCGAATAGACATAAACATCAATTTCTATATTTCTTTCACGCATTTCCTCGAATATATTCTCAGCTTCCCCAATATCACCAGAACTAGAATACCACTGAATCAAAATACTATAAGTAGCCACACTAAAAACAACCTGTTCCTTCTCCATCAACCTCAGTATCTCATCAACTCCCTTTTGATCCTTTCTTCCAACATACGCATTTAACAATGTATTGTAAGTAAACACAGTCGGTTTCACAATGCTTTTACTCACCATCTCATCCATCAACTCCTTGGCTTTCTCAACCTCTCCTCTTCTACACAGCACATCAATCACAAGTGTCAAAGACTGAACCCTAATTTCAATTCCATTAGACTCAACCATCTGGCGGAAGAATCTAAGACACAAGTCAACCTCACCACATCTCTTCAAAGCAAGCAAAAGCACAAAACAAGACCTCTCCTCTATCACCAACCCCTTTTCCTCCACATAATCATAAACCTTAATTGCCTCTTGGAACAACCTATTATCCGAACAAACCCTAAACAGCATATCACAAAGCTTCTCAACAAAATGAGGCTCAAATTCATCAACCAAATCAACAATAGCCGAAACGGGACAAGGAAATTCGGAATCGGTAACTACAGAATTCAAAATACTCTTCATGGTTGCGAATTTCCGAGCTTTTAAGAGTCTGGAAAAGAGAATCAAATGCGCCTTAAGATCAGGTTTGAGTGAAACGCTTGAATGATGGGTTTTAAGGAAGTGGAAAAAGGCTAAACAGGAATGAGGTTGGAGAATAGGGTCGGAAAGAACACGGTAAGTAACCTGGGGAGTGATGCAGGAAATCATGGAGTGGAGTCGAGTGTTATTGGGTTTGAAATAGTTGGAGTTAGTTGAATTGATGAGGATGTGAGTAATTTTACGAGCAAGTTCATGTTGGTGGTGCTTTGAAGGAAAGGATACACCTTTGTTGAATGTTGTTAAAAGGGTTTTCTGGGAACACATTTTTTTTTTCAGAAACGAAATACAAAGAAGAAGAAGAGGAGGAGTAGTTTCAGTGTTCACAGTCACTGAAATAGCGAGGAGGTTCAGGTAGATGGGGTCTCTTCACAAAGTTTTTGAGTTAATTAATTACACTTTCCTCACTTTTAATCCTATTTGAGATTTTGGCCCCTAGGTTAATTAATATTTAGTAAATGCACCGCCGAAGTGCCTATAAAACACGACATCGTTTTGAGCATAGCTCTATAGTTTGGTTCATATAAAACCCTAATTGTTGCTAATTACCAATTCGGAAGAACGCAAGCAAGAGAGACGATCATGAGAGCAATGGACTTGTTCGGAGAGATGGAGGAGCAGATAACCACAATGGCGATGGACGTCGACGACGTCGACAATTTCGAGGTCTTAGCCGATGGCATCGTCGGCAACGATTCCAAAGTCGCCGATTCCGAATTCTTCAACTCTTTCCAAGACGATTTCGATGATGCTGATATCAACTAATGCCTTTTCTTCTTATTGATTAGTACGTCGTTGTTTCCCTTTTTCATCTTCATGAAGGATAAGAAAAGAAAAAACTGATATTGATGTATTTTGTTTCTTGGATTTTTGTGTTAATATGATACGAAGGTGATGACTATTTTGTGATTAATCTACTGAGTTTCGTGTTTTGAATCTTGCGATTAAACATGTCTAGTTTTTGTTTTTTGTGTGTGATTGATTGTGGATATGGATTTAGTTGATTTTACCAAATGGTATTTTTAGGTTATATTTGATTTTGGTGCTATTATTGGTTTCTTCAGTTTTAATGGGTTGTAATTTTTTCATTTTTAAGTGATTATCTAAGTGTAGAAAATTCATATTTAAACTTGTTATTGGTATCAGTAAAGTTTTATTGAACTAGTTGGTAACATAACAGTTGGAATGCTAGATACATAGGCTTTTGAACACATTGTTCAACACAGTTTTATTGTTGATTGCTTCATTTTTCATAAGGTCATAACTTTTTAAGAAGTGATAAATTGTGGTGATGACTTTCTGAAAATTGGATGATCATAAAGAGTGGAAAGAGTGCTGATTGCTTTTATTTCTCATTTTATATGTACTATAGAGTTATAAAATCTTTTGGATGTCAAGGGAAACTTTTTATAACTAAAGCAGCACCAGAATTGTCTTTAAGGACTAAAATGATAATTTTCTTCACTTCTTATATATTTTGTTTCTGGTATCTATATGTCTATAGAATACATGTGTTTTCTCATTATGGAAAAAACTAGTCTTGTTTCATGAAGAAACATTTATAGTTGCCAGGTTTCAATTCTTGTTTGGGATTTGATCCACGGGTAGAATATATGCATCTTTGATTTCTCATGTGGCATTGATTTACTTCCAAGCTTAAATATGAATTCGCTTAAATATGATTTACTTCCACTATATATAAACCCAACAATTTTGTACAGGGTGTTAATCTTGTAAATCAGGGTATGAATATTGTCTCCCATTTGGGGGAATAGGTTGGGCTTTGGCTTTTTGAAGTCTAAGTCTGACTTACTAAAATATTTAAAGTTAAGTCTGTCTTATAATTTATTATAGTTTTATTTGTTTACTTTTTGGGTTTTGAGTCTGACATTTTGGAATGATTATTCTATAAGTCAATTTAAAAGTCTATTTTTTAAAGTTTTTCCCTCTCTTTCAGAGTTACTAATACTAGATAGCGGAGCAGAGCGGCTGACCTCAAAAGTAGAATAGCGGATAGCGGGATATTTTTTGTACTAATAATTATATAATAATGTATAAAACATATGTCATATACTTAATGTAAAATTAAATAAATAACGCAACACTAAAAAGATTTATAAAATTCAATGTCAATGAACAATGTTTAATCAAGATTCAAAACATAATCGAAAATTAAAAACAATATAGAAGATTCAAAACATCACATCCTAATACTATTATATGAAAATTTAAGCAAACATTTCTACCACCAGTTGTTGTGCAATTGTTGCTCTAAATGTACTTGCAATTTTAAGTTGCCTTGACCTCTTAGTGTAGATTAGAGGCTCATTAACCTTACTTGCATCTGCAACTTAAGACCCTGTTATATCATCATTGTCATGAACCAAGTCTCTTTTAAAGGTTCACCATCTTCTTCTCTTATCTCTCCCACCAATTATTCAGTATGATAATTAATTTTTCCAAAAATCAAAGAATCAATGTTGTCTCGAATTTCAAACCTTTCAATTAAAGCTTGGTTATACTTGATGAAAACCAAGTCTTTGTCTAGAATAACAACTAAAAAAGAACTCAAAGGGATGAAAGAAAAGAACATGAAAAAAGTAGAAAGAAAAGAATAGAAAGTAGAAAGAAATGAATAAAACTCACTCGAAGAAGAATTAAGGAGGAAGGGGAGTATCAAACTGTTGCGCTTGCCAGAGGAGGAGAGGGAGTGCCAGAGTGTTGCGATAGAGACACAGAGTTTGAAGAAGATGTTACCATTAGAGTTTGAAGATGGAATACGTTTTAGATGGAACACAAGAGAGATGTTTTAACCATTTTAATATTAAGAGCAAAATTTTGATTTCAAATAAAAAGTCTAAAATAAAATAAAATGAAGCCATCTACTCCGCCCGGGATCAACTCGCTCCACGCAACCCACAAATCCGGGGAAATTGCCCTCGTTTCAAAACTGTAATATGCACCCTTATTCGGCTGCGATGGGTGGCTGCTCTTGCCAGATAGCCCGTGATTGCGCCGATTGTGGCCACGACTTGTAACTCTTCTTTCTTCGCTTCCAAACTCCTAAATAACGCTTTAATGTTTGTTTGCAATGAGTTATTTGAGTTTATCTAGTAGAATAAGTATAATCATATTATTTTTTCGAAAGAATTTATAAAAATAACTTATGACATTAATCATAAGGTTTTTTCTATGTCTTTTCATAAAATTTTCAAGATAACTAATTTTTATATTTTAACTCAAAGTATAAAATATAATATAATAATAATAAAATTACTCATATTTATTTAAATAGGATGTCCTGATTTGTCTTAAAAGTTTTTTATGGCGTGTGACCTATGTTTTTTAACTAATATGTTTGTAAAAAAATCTAGTTCTTTTCTATTTTTAAAAAATGGTCTGACTTTGGTCTGTGTAGACTATGCCGTAGGTCTATGTTAGTTGGCCTAGTCTATTTCAACTTCTATCTCCCTTGAGATTTTTACGTGAGAGGGTATATGAAAATCATCACGATTCAATTACCTCTTAATTAGTTTTATATATACTTGTAAAAAACTGTTGTTTTTTAGATTTCGAAAATAACAATAAAAGAAGTTATCGAGATGAGTCGCAAAATAGTTCGCTCTATTTAAGAGGTTTTGTGGCACTGCCTAAAATCATGCAAAGTATTCGAAATACTGCCACCTCTAGGATAAAACAACTTAGTTTTATACTGTAAGACTATTACTTGTACAATATATAATCGGTCTAAAAATACACACTCTAATGGTATAAAGACCATTTGAATATGGTATAAATTGTGCTCGTGGTATCTGGTATAGCAACCAGTCATAATAATTTCTCAAACCAAGAGAAATGCTAATAATTCTCCAAAGAGAATTCAATATTGATCATTTGACCACTCAGAAATGATTTCTCAATCAAAGAGAAATTCGAATAATTCTCTAAACAGAATCCAAAAATTAAACTTGATAATTTCTCAACTCAAACGATGGAAAATTAACATAATTCTCTAAAGAGAATTCAAGAAAGTACCCGGAAAATTTAACGAGTAGAAAGAAAGATGGAGACGTTGGTGTTTTGACAATTCAGAAAACGCGGAGTTATGAGAGTGAGCAAGAAAAAAATCAACAAAAGGATTTTTTGGTGTGTTTTGGGATGAAAGAGAATTTTCTTATATAATGAAGTGAGCTAGCTAAGATATCTCACCTAAGTAATGTGAGACTATTGAGTTTTTTCAACAAACACACAACGCGAGGCTTAAGGTACATTTTCAAATTCATCTCCCTATATTGGAATATTGACATAATGTTCCAACAATCTCCCGCTTGAATTTAAAAAAGTGTTTTACAAGTAATGTCAAACGTTTCTAAGATTGTGCATAAACAAAGGTGTCTGCGACTTGAACCTTTGCGTAGCAAGTAGGATTTTAATTCAACAAAAGTGACACAATTGTCTTGAAACCTATCTCAGACATCAAACCCGCACACAAACTTTTCTTGAGGTGAATTATAATATCTCGTGCTTTAATTGCCTTGGACGTGTATCCTAGTTTAGTGAAGACTCTAGGAATTCTACCTCGAAATTCCATTAGAACCGACCTAAGTTCCACAATCACATTGGCGAATCTATCAAGAGTACTCTTGTAGCTTAGGTACTCCCTCATACATAGTATATATATCTCATTATGAGCTTCTAATATCTCATCCTCTTATTGCTTCAAGATTCATGCTTTACTTATTTATACTCGCATGATCATCTCATATTACTCATACTTGTTATTAACCATTTAACATATTTCTTGGATCTCCAGTCATTTAGGCCGAGTTACCATTATGAGCAACTCATTTCTCTATAGGCATTATTTCTATCTTATTTGATGTATTATGGACTTTCTCTCTAGCTAATCATTTTTCCAAAGGATCTGCTAAATTTTCATCAATACGTACATGATTCACTCTTACAACTCCTTTAGAGATACAATCTCTAACAATGTTGTGATTTCTTCTAATTTGACTTCTTTTACTATTATAATAATTATTCTCAATTTTTGCAATAGTCGCGATACTATCGCAATGGATCAACACAGCTAGCATAGGTTTTTCCCACAAAGGGATGTCAACTAGCAAGCATCTAAACTAACTTACTTCTTCACTAGCACTCGCTAAAGTTGTCATCTCATACTCCATCGCGATTTGAGTCAAGATGGTATTTTTCTTTGATTTTCAAGATACATTTCCTCTAGGTATACTAAATATATAGCCTAG